CAAGACGGGATCACAATTCAAGGAGAAGTGAAGATGCAACTTTGAAATTAAAGAATAATTTATTAAACACCCAACATTTACTCGTAGAGGGACTTGGTGTAGGTGGCGGTGGCAGCAACGTAGGCGTCACGGGCAGCCTTGTAGGGGCCGGTGGCGAGCTTGAGCTCGTTGGCAGCCTTCAAGTAGGCATCGCGGGTGGCGCGGTAGGTGGTGGCGTAATCCTCGAGGTCAAAGAGAAGGGCGAACATTGCTGTCTTGCTCTCCGCGCCGCGGCCCCTGCTTTTATACCCGCCTTTGGGGGAGTTGTTCTATTTCCGGGAAATGTCTGGGTACCCCCGCCACTCCCCTCCATGGGACGCTCCTACCAACAAGTGCATTTAGAGCTACGACTCCACTTATAAATTAGCAGACCTTGGCTGTATCACACTCCGCCCTCGATATAGAGTACCTTACCCCTGGGTGAACCCACCCTACCACTATTGCCTTTTGAACCCAGACGGCTCTTCGGTGTGTGACCCCTCGCAGCATATTATACCACCGGGTGCTTCTAGTCCAAATATGTCCTGTTGGCCCCTTGGCTCTCGGGTGGGTAGTCGAAGAACAGTGTACATTCAGGTACAAAATTCCGTACCAAGTCGAAGCAGTTTTGTACGAAACTCTTTGCTTTGTATATGAATCTATATCGAAAAATCCATCAGTAGGTACTAATATATTTTACTTTTATGTAACCGTACCAGTCCGCGCTTGAGTAAAACTCACTGGTGCGGGCCGGGGCCAGCGGATCCGCCGGGCCGCAACTCAGTTAGTTAGTATCGGACTCCGCGCCCGGCTGACAGTCCTGTACTCAAAGTTAACGGTTAAAAATACTACGCTTAACTTTGAAAGCTGTACTACGGTATTGAGTCGCCGCCGGATCCCGATCCTGACTGCGCCGGGCCGGTCAGGGACTCTCCCCTGGCCGGGCAGGACCGCCGGACTCGGTCGCCGGGCCCTGGGGGGACCGCCGCCGGGGCCGGGCCGCGCGGCGCCGCCCCGGCGCCAGCCGAACCGTGGCCGGGTTCCGATAACCGTTCAACCGTTGAACGGTTGAACCGTCGGACCGTCGGACTCCGGTGACGCACCGGGCCGGGCGGTGAGCGGCCGATTGAGCCTCCGGGAGTGCCCTCCGCCGAGTCGAGGACCCGGTCGGACCGTCATTCCATGGTATTTTCTAATGCTCGCTTTTGATCATTTTCGAGCGGGGTACCTCAGCCCAGGATTTTTGAATACGGTCGGCGCACTGAAAATTTGTACCAGAAACTTCGATAATGGTTGAAAGTATGTTTGAATCGGGGACCGTGTCGAGCAGTTTTAGGTTTACAAGTATTCTTGCTTCCTCCAAACAACAAGGTTTCAAACATTAAAACTATTTTTGACCTTACACGCTTTTACACGCCTGGGGGGTGCATATACAACCAAATCCCCTGCCCTACCCTTCCCCCATTGCTGCATCCGCACCCGCCGGTGCAGGCGGCGTTTGTTTGAATCCAAGATGGCTCTCAGCCAATGGCTCTTTCATCGTATTCAAGCTCCAGGCCATCCAAGGTTGGATCATGTGTGAATGTTTGTACTTTTTGCGGCATACTGCAAGACGACATTTCAAACAGCTCGAGCTTGTTTTTCAAAGGAAGCTGTAGGAATCAGCATCGCCATGGATTCCAGGGCCTAGGGCTGTTTTCGAATCCTTTTGATGCTCATTGCAAGATGGAGAATTGCTCGTTTTTGGTGATCAAGCATCCACAACCCTCTTTCGTATGATTGAGCTTCGAGCACATCTCTGACTGTAGAGTTGTTTGGTGTCAAGATTGTTTCTCGTAAAGGATCTCTCTGATTAGGCAATTAATTGTTGTTTTGGTTGGCATTCTACAAGACCCATCCTTCCTCCTCTCTGTGTCAACCAAGCACATAAGCATAAGGCATGTCAGTCGTGTAGGCAACTTGATTGCAAATAGATCGCAAGTGTAAGATCGATGAACTATTCAACGCCATGAATGCCGGATGTGAATGAACTTCCCTAAGGACTTCTCAGTATCAGAACCAGCGAGCTAAGACATAAGGTAGAGTCTCCATTGAATATCATTCCTGCGAATGTAATGTTTTTATCAGTTGTGGGGAAGAGAAGCATGGAGACAAGCGGGTGCCCAAGCGAATAGGAGCATCTTGCGGATGTAGGTTTGGACAAAGACGGCGATGATTCCGAGGTTGTGAAACAGGCAGCGAAAAGATGCTGAGGTTTTCGGAGTTCATAAACATGGCTTGTGACGAGCATGTCACACGTAAAGCGATGGAAAACAACAAACAAAAATTGTAAAGCAATCGAAAGCAACGAAAATCAATGGAAAACAACAAACAAAAATTCTTCTCAAAAGTCTCACTCCTTGACTTCAACCACTGATTGAACATCTTTTTGACCTCGGTCATATCTCGACAAATCCGATTGTACTCCGCCGCTGAACAGAAAGTTGTTTGCGCCATCTTTTCAACGAGTGGTGCCGGGTTTGCAATCGAGAAGTGAGAGATTTCACAGGGTTTATTATTTTCGATGTCGTCTTCATGAAAAAATATATACCCATGCACTCTGAAATTATCGTGGAGATCATCGTTGGCATGCTCCAACATGCAAGGAAAGCTGAAGAAAAACATTTTTGGTATAGCATTTATTTCATCCGTATCCTTGTAAATTGATTGATAACAATCACGGTTTCCAACTTTGTTCAAAATTCTTTTCAGGGCCACACAGGGCACTCGATTAGTTATAATGGTTTCGTCTACATGTTCCAAGAGGACTCGATTGTACATGATGTACACTTCGACAACCTGTGCATTTGAGTGCAGCGATTTGATCATGCCCAGTCGATTCACTTCAACGCCCCTGTGATCTTCACACTGATATTGAACCCCTGTGCCAGGCTCAAGTATGATATTCAAATTACTGCCTGGCTTTTTCCAGTACATCCTGGGCAAGTCTCGATCATCAACTGACGTATGCAGGATCATTCGAGCTTCAAATCTTCAGGTATCTTTGACTCATCACAAGTCTCGTCCTGCTCCAAGAATGTATCGAAATTTTCCTGCCTTCGCCTTCTCTGAATTCCATTTGTTGCTGATACACGACGGTGAAGATTCATTTGTTTGGTGTCTATAACTGGAGCGCAAGGGAAAGGGAAGCAACGGGGAGGGAGGGGAGCAGGAGGGAGGGAGGGAGCAGGGAGGAAGGGAGGGGAGCGGGGGGGGGAGGGAGGGAGGGAGAAGAGCACGGAAGGAGGAGGGGAGGGATACTTGCAATGGAGATCTCAGGATTTTTAATGAAAATTATTTGCTGTTTGATCGGGGGCAAGGGGACCTGTGTTTCGGTGGCACCCTATAGACATAGGGTAGGTATCCATATAAAACAACCGGTGTAGAAAAAAAAGATTGCCGTTGCTAGCTGGCATACGACTCCTTGATTTGAAAACAAAAATACTTATTGGCTAGATTTACTACACTCGTCAATGGCTGACACTAATAAGATTTCATGAGCGTGTATCGAAATATACGAATAACCCTACCCCAACAATGTCAGACAAACATACCGGTACACAGGGCAGAGAGCAGCCAAGAGGCGTGTAAGCCGGAACTCAAATGCTTAAAACGAATATAAAAGAGTACTGAGTGGTACAAATCATTCTGGTACAAAATTGACTAAAAACTGTATGCTTATGATCAAATTAACAGGTACAAGTGTTTGTTAAAAGGATATAAGTTTATAATTGGGCATTAGAAAATACCATGGAATGACGGTCTGCGGCCGGCCCCCGTGGGCCGCGGCCGCGCGGGCCCCGGGCCCGGGCCCGGACCGCCGGCCGCCGCGGGTCCTCAGCGGCCGGACTCTAGCCGCCGCTCCGAGTCGGAGGCTCCGGCCCGTCCCGAGTCTGATCCGATGATCACGAGTCACGCGCCGCCCGAGCGGCCCGGCCCGGCGTCGCGGCCGGGGTGAGCCTCGTCAGAGGCTGAGCCCGGCGCCCCGGCGGGCCTGGCGCCGGGCCGGGCGGCCGCCCGCCGGTGCAGTGCCCGGCAGGCTGTGACTCGGTGACTTGCCGGGTGACCGGGCCGCAGTAGTGTGAGTGACCCTCCGTCACATCAGCGGTAAAAAAGAGTTTAGGTATTTTTGTGACAAGAATAAACTATCAAAGTTTGTAGAGTTTGCCAGTTGAACTTCGCAAACTTCTCGACCACCAACTCGAGAGACCACTCTCAGATAGAGAGGAGGGGTACTAGGCGTCTTTCACTTATTCACTCAGAACTTGATTCCTCCACCTTGGGTACCCTTCATTTATATGGAGGTTCCAAACTAATGGACCCCAATCATCCTGTAAGAACCACACCACCCTGACTTCACCACCCCTACCCCTGATTGGAGGCGAAGAGCACCCCACCATGACTACCCTTCCTTCGCTTCCATGGCATGACTTACACGATCAATCTCCGTCAAGATGCTTCCTGTCACCTCCCATCAACTTCCATCTCCTCCCTCCCTCCTCCCTTCGCTTCATCAGTCTTCCCCCTCTCTTTCCTTGGTTGCCCTACCTCCCTCCCTCCATCGTACCTCCACTTCCTCTTTTTTCATCTTATCCGCCTCCGATGACCTTTCCTTTTCGCTGTATCGCTCCCTGCATCTATCTATCTCTCAACCCTCTCCTCGTCACCTCGATGATTCTTTCCTCGTCCCTCCCCTTCACGGTTCTTGCGCCTTCGACACCCAACATCTCTTTTCAAAGGACGTGAGCCTCCCCTATTCCCGGTTGATGACGAAACCTAGATCACTTGGGCTGTCTCTTGCAGTTTCTCATGTCAAGTGGCATTTCGTAAGATTGGCATGCTAGTACGCTGCTGCGTGTCTTTCACGATCTGAGTGTCGTCCATGAGCTCATCTGATGTGTTGCTCGGTCTCATTCTGTTCGTCCAGGTTTCGCTTTACAGCCATGATCTCAAGGGTTTTCATCCTGTCAACTCTTCTATCCTCTGCCTCAGCATATTCCTTGGCCCCAGTGCTTCAGGGCTTGAAGGCTCCCTCCTCTGCTCCCTTGTGCCACAAGTTCTCTGCTCGGCCAGGAGTGCGGAGAGGCCTTACGCCGGTCAGGGCTGGTGACCAACCCATCCCGGAGGGTTTCCGAGAGTTCCAGGCGAGGGAGAAAAGCCTGGATGAATGGTTTGCAAAGCTTGCTGATAGCCGCTCCTCCATCCGTCAGATGGCCAGCATCAAGATCGCTGAGATGCACGACAAGGAAGGGGAGGTATGTTCTGTAGCTCCTGCTGCAACCCCTGTGCTGACACCTTGCAGGAGCAGGAGAAGGCTGTGATTCAACGGCTGTTCAGTTACCTCACCTTGGAGGACGTCCATGAGAGGAGAGCAGCGGTGCAGGCGCTGGGAATGATCGGACAGAAGGTCCTGCCGCCGCTGGTTGACATGCTCCTTGCGACTGAGGACCGCGTTGTGCGGGCGTCCTGCTCCAAGGCCATCGGAGCAGTTGCTCTGAAGAACCCCGAGCTCCTCCCGGAGTTTCCGCAGCTCGCGCTTGATGGGATGAAGAAGGCGATTCTTGACATCCCTGACCCTGTGACCAAGATCGCCACCATCAGCTCCCTCGGACAGATCGGAGGAGGGGATGTTGCTCATGGCTACCCGGGATGCGAGAGGGTGAGAGATTCCGATCTTTCAGTCCTACTTCCCTCTCCTCTCTCGTCCTCCTAGCTCCCTCCGTCCATCTCTTCCTCCCTCCCCGCTTCCCTCCGTCCGTCCGTCCGTCCATCCCTTCCCCACTCTCCCTCGATTCCTTTCTTCACCCTCCCTCCCCCGGGCTCCTCCCTCTCTCTCTTGCTCACTTTCGCTCTTTTTCTGCACAGGCTCTGGATGTTCTCATTGAGGCCCTGGAGGTGAGTGACGACATGGGACTGGCTGCTGCTGCTGTCAACGCGGTCGCGACCATCGGCAAGACCAACGAGCCGTTCCGAGCCAAGGTGAGAGAGAAGCAGCGAGATGATGAAGTCTTGAGAGGAGGAGGAGGAAGAATCTGCAGCAGCTGACGCTGAGCAGGCGCTCGCGAGCTTGGAGAAGCTCAAGGAGCGAGCAAAGGACATCGACGGCTTCATGTTCGTGGAGCAGATGATCGAAGGGCAGATCGAGCAGCTCAACGGTGGAGGAATTGTTGGAGAGATCAACAAGAGCCGGTCGACTGGCCAGTCATCGGCCCAAGAAAATCTTGCCAAACAGGTAGAGAGGAGAGAGAGAGAGGAGGGGGAGGGGGGGGGATAGTGGAAGAGGAGGGATCGTACGAGGACAAGGATGCTGATGGCAAGTGCAGGTGGCAGCTGCGAGGAGCTCGGGGATGATAGTAGATGCCTCGGCACCACCTGACGAGGACTGGATGTCTGCCATGTAATAAAAACTCTTGTCACGGGCCCCGATGGAGGTGGGAGATGATACGGCGGCTGTCGCACGCTCACAAGAAACGCCGTGAGCCCTCGTTGATGTTGGTGACTGAGCAGAGCTCGAAGGTCGTGCAGTCTAGCCCTCGCTGCCAGAACGCTCGTCAGGTCATCGCCAAGGCAAGAGCTGCTCGTGTAGCTATCGCGTGCTCTCTCCTCCCTCTTCACTTCCACTGCGCCTGAACTGCCACGCTGCTGGTTCCTCATCCGAGTTGCTCTACCAACCCAGCAAACATGTCCATGCCACGTTCTTCACTCCTCCACACATCTCTACTTCACACCTCCTTCCCGTCAAATACTCTCATCTCCCACCTCCAGCTTGTGCTCGTGGACCGTGACAACGACGCTCGAGCCCGGGAAGAAAGTTTCGCTCCCGCACTGGCTCTCTTCCTGCCTCCATCGTGCAGGGAGCAACCAGGAATGGGACCCACGAGACTGGTCGGGTCCTCGAGCACCGATCTGATGGCGACGTCGTTGAAGGTGGAGACCGAAGGAGGCGGCAGACAAGCCTGCGGCAAGCAGGTGAGCAAGACTGCAAGATCGAGAAGGAGGAAGCATGGGAACAACACGGCTCCAGGAGCACAGCACACGTCAAGTCCAGGCTTGCAGGAGAGCATTGGGGGGTCAAGACACAGCGGTGAAGGTGCTGGGGCATACCGTAGGAGGATCCTCTCGTCAAGATCCACCCGCTGTCAGCTGCTGCAAGACAAAACCACTCGGCCACTACCCTCACGTGTCGCTCTAGGAATCCAAGTCAGCGCCTGCCGTGTGCTCCCCCCCATCCCAGCTTCCTCCTCCTCCTCCTCCTCCTCCGTCTCCTCCGTCTCATTACCGAGTTGTCGGTCTAGCGACTCGTCCGACTTGAGCTCTGAGCATGAAACAACAAGTGAGAAACCTGACTGTCCTTGATTTCATCTCATGAATCTCATGAGTGTCTGTGCTCTGCTGCTCTGCTGCTCTCCCCCTCTCCTCCTCCTTTTCCCTCCCATGTCCTCATCTCTTGCCACAGCTCAACCATGCATCTGCTCCGACACTCTGCCCACCAGCGCTGTGAGTTGCGTTCCACGAGTTGACTATGACGGGCAGGCGGTGGGCAGCGACTCGTCCCTTCATCTCCGGGCTCCCACCACAATGTCAGCACGAGCTCAACCTGCTCCACCAGCACCTGTCGCTTGCAAGGAAGATGAAACCGGAACATCTCGATCCGCTCGAGAAGCAGCTGGACATCAGGTTGACCATTCTCAGCTGCCCCTCTTCCCTCAGGGCGAACATCCCCCGAGGTGACGAGCCTTGGCTTCTACTCAGCTCCTCCCTGTCCTCCTCCTCCCCACTCACCACTTGGGTCCCAGTCGCCGGAGAGGCGGGCATGCGCTCCCAGATAGCTGAGAGAGCTGCATGGCCAAGTCTTGATACCCCTTGCCGGGCTGAGAATCTCATCGAGAGCTGCTGCCTCATCAGCATCCATGCCAGCATGAGAGAGATCAAGTATGGAACAGGAGGAGCAGGAGGAGCAGGAGGAGCAGGAGGAGAAAGAAGGCACCTGCTAGCACTCTCTCGGAAGGATGAATGAGAGAAGCGAGCAGTTGTCCGACTGCATCAAGATACTGATGGGGAAGCAGGCTGATGATCTGGAGCCACTCTTTTAGATCACTCACTCCCCTCCCTCTCCCTCTTACATTCCCTTCCCCCCAAACCCATCCCCTCCTCTTCTTCTCGCTCTCTCTGTCTCCCTCCCTCCCTCGCCGTCGCCCTTGCGCTGCTCCTCGAGTCCCGAGTCCCTCTCATCCAACTCTCCTCCTCGTCCTCACTCTCCACATTTACGTGACTTCTGCTGAGCCTTGAGTGACGGTAGATGATGCGAGGGAGAGATCTGAGGCCGAAACGACTGCAAGACCGCAATGCCGTCAGCAGCTCCCACGACGAGCAGGAGAAGTACAGGGAGAGAACCCTGCTGTTGGTGTCCAGTCCCTCCTCACAAGCTGCGCTCAGCTTCTTCTGGTGCAGACAGCGAGACAGGTCCGGCATGACAACCGCGTCCTCCTCCTCCTCTGCCCAGCTCTGCAACGATGGCCCGTCAGCATGGGACAAGACTCGCTCTGGCTGGTGTATGCCGCTCACCAGCAGACGCTGCAGGTTCTCCTCCACCGCAAGGTCCACGAGGACGTTCGCTCTAGGGACGAGGGACCGAATTTCTCTCCCTCTCCCCCATCGAGCAGCTCCTTTCTCCTCTCGGAGCCCGTTTCCGATGAAGTGGCTAAGGGGAAAGGGACGAGTCCAGTTCACTACTAGGGCGCGGTCAGTGACCATGGCGAGCAGGAGGCAAGCAGCCAAATCGAGCATCCGGTTGCCCCAGCCATAGTCAGGAGGAGTGTAGACGAGGATCCTCGCATACGAGCTTGTCTCTGCCTTGCCCTCCAGGACCAGCTTCATGATTCCATCATGCACACGAACATACTCCTCCAACTGTTCCTCGAGAGTCCCAAGTTGCCTCTGCTGGTAGACTCGCCCCTCCTGCCGCTCTGCCTCTCCCTCCTCTCCCGCCCTCCTCTTGCAGACCTCCAGCTCTCCCTCCTCTCGACTCCAACGGACCGCATCGACTCGGAAGCCAACGATCGCAGGAGGAGCAGCAGGCGCCTCAACCCCTTCCTCGTCCACCAGACTCACGCTGAGGTAGTGGGAGCCGATCCCGAGCATGCGCCACGGGAGGGTCACGACGACCCTTGTGCTCCACCATCGCATGCGACGAGCGTCTGCCTCCTCTCCCTCCCTCACCAATCGGCCGTCAAGTCTCACAACAGCATGCAGGGCCCCGCTGCCCATAGCCACGTTGTGGAGCTCAGCGACAGCCGTCAGTCCTCCATGCTCAACCTCACCCGGTCTGCAGGGCAGAGCGAAGGTGGAGCCATGGACAGGATGAGTGATGCGAACTTCAGCGAGTGCGGCCATAGTCTTCAGACCATCCCAGCTGCTGTAGAGAGAACCTCGGCGTTGGTTCCCTCCCACAATCCCACTCATTCCGCTCCCATCCGCCGCCTTCCCCACCCCACTTACCATCTCAACCTCCGTCCTCGCATCAGCTACGAGCTCGGCTGCCGCTTGGTCGAACGACTGAGAGGACCCAGCGGACCGCGGGAGGACGAGCAGACTGATATGGATAGAGCAACGTCCAGCCTCTTTGACAAGCAGAGGGATTTCGAGCGAGCAGCTAGAGGAGACTTCTCCTACGATAGAGTCGTTGACAGCAATGCGAAACAAACTGAATCTGCCGTCCCCCAAGCACGGAGAGGATCTCAGGACAAGCATGAAGTTCATGGTTGGCGCGTTTAGGACCGCCTTGCTGCTGTTCAACGAGACAAGTGGGATCGTCCTGCTCTTGCGATGATGGCGAGGGCTGGGAACTTCCCTGACAGAGAAACAAGACAAGCGATGAGGATGGAGGATCTGAATCCTGTAAGATGATCGCGCGACTGCCTGACCCCCACTATCCTTAGGCTCCACGCGCTCGTCATTCAACGTTGCCTTCCATGCTGCTTCTGACGAAATTTGAAACCAGACAGAGCGGAGGAGAAGAGGATTCGAACTCCAAGCTCGAGGAAGAGAATGATTGCAAACTGCTCCTGTCCAAGACACGAGAGCAATCTCCACCTGAAGATCCAATTTGTTAGAGTAAGTTGCATAGAACAAGCATAATGAATCGGGATAAGAGTAAGATAAATCATCTTGCATGGTTCAGCGGTGCAAACTCTCAGCAGGAACATCAAAAAGTTGCAGCAACATGTTGTACAGCATCAATATGAGAGCAACATCGGACAGCAGCGTTCGATGTACCTTTCTCCATCCCTCCGTCAAGCAGGCTTGCTGCAGCATGAGCTGAAGGATGTCGAACTCGACCTCGTCAGGACTCAGCAAGAGCTCGTTGACCCCAGGAGGGGACAGCGAGCAGCTCGAATCCTTGCCAGCAGTCGTGACCCGCACGTGCGCTCGATGCTCCCCGACCCCCAGGGAAACCCCCGCAAAGCTAAAGGAGAGCATGAGCGCGTGCCCTGCTGACGTCATCCTTGCAAGGTGACTGGGAGGCGGTAGAATCGTTCCGTTCTCGGGCGCTAACAGGAGCAGCGAGGGTCTCTCAGGTGCTGTAGGTGAGGCAGCTCCTCCGATGCAAGCACAGACGCATGCTGCTGAAGGATCCCCCTCCTCCTGCTCTGACCTCGTAGCGTGAAAGAGATGCTCGCCTGTCAAGCTACGTGGGATGGTCATGGTGATTGCTGGCTTGCCTGGGAGCCGAACAAACTCCCTGCCGTCGATGCGAATCAGCACTTCCTCTCCCCGAGTCTCCCCGCCCAAGTGAATCACCATGTAGGACCCCGCCTTGACCGTAGTCGCATGCAGAGGAAGGGAAATCTTAGTTGTGCGATCCGCTGACACTGGGCTACAAGTCTCGGGGGCGTCTAGACAGCACAGGGGGCCTTCGGTCGATTGAAGTTGCTCATCGTGAGCAAGGCAAAGTGTCGCGATGAAGACGACGAAGTTGACCGCAGGCCTGCTACTCATGGTGGGAATTCAGAGACTTCGATTTGTTTTGATAGATTGGCGATGTCTTGTTGAAGACCTTCTGCCTCTGTCTCTGTTGTCCGCGAGCATCTCCTGTGATCTTTGTGCACCATCTGATAACGATGTCTCGTCACATCTGAGAACTACCAAAGTTGTATGTATCCTAAACTTATCCTTGTCTCCCTTTCTCCGCTTCTCTCCTCCTTCTCCTCTCGTCCTCTCCTGATCTCGTCCTCTCGTCCTCTCGTCCTCTCCTGATCTCCTCCTCTCCTGATATCCTCTTCTCCTCCTCTTCCCCTCTCTCTCCTCTCTTTCTCGCTCTCCTGCCATGTTGGATCCCAATGGGCGGAACGGACTGAACTTTGTTCTGCAGAAGGAACAGCCAAATGTTCCTTCTAGGGGATGCTGCCACGGATTAGGCAGCTGGGGGTGACGTCACGTTTCCTAACTAAGAAGGGCTGCCTCAGAGTTATTTGTAACTAATTTTAAAAGGCAGCAAATTTTTCAGAGAAGGTGCTGCAGAGAATCTTTTCTGCCCTGGAGCTAAGACATTGAGGGGGACTGGAAACTTGTAAGTTGAGTAGAAATCAAAGGGGTTACTTCCATGGCGTTCTGCGGGCATATCAGAACAGGAGGGCGAGGGAGAGTGGCGGCGGTGGGAGCGATGGCAGCGGGAAGAACGCGAGGAGGAGATCCAGGACAGGGAGAGCATGTACACAGACAGGAGCAAGTGATTGTGAGAGGAGGAGTGTGTAGCACGGGCACGAAACGGAGCGAAATAAGGAGGGGGTGTAGATGAAGGCGGGAGGGAAACATCGCTCGAGAGAGAGGGATAAAGGTTGAAGTGACAGGCTGCATGTTGAAACAATCAGTTCTGTTCGTTCTGCGCCACTGCTTTCCTCCATCAGTGGTTTGTTTGTGGTGGCGATGACTGAGGATGTCGAATAGTGAGCATATGCTCCCTACCCCGTTCTCGTTCTAAAATGCGTGTTTGGATCCCATCCTTCCCCATTGTTTTTAGCTTTACTACAACATAAAGAATATATCACCTGCTCTACATGCTCGACGTGGTGACCTCTTGTGCAGGAGGAAGCGATTGTTTAGGATGCCAGATCCAAAACAGAACGAAAAGCTGGTGCAGAAGATACGCGACGTTGCACGCGCGCATGGTCGAGTTTGTGCGGACTGCAATGAAAAGGTAAGATGGATGAAGAATGAATCTGATTGATTTGATTGACTGGGAGTGCGGCAGTTTCCGGGTCAGGTGTGCATGGATTTCAAGACATTTGTTTGTATGACTTGCAGCGGCATTCATCGAGAGTAAGTGTTTACCTTGCTGATCGCTTCCTGCTCCTGCTTGTCTATTCGACTTTTATCTTAGCCCGTGTTGCTCCGCTGGCATTGCCTGATGCCTCTCCGTGCAGGTTTCAGCACAAGTGCAAGGGGATTTCTCTCAGCAACTGGACCAAGGAAGAAGTTGCAGCGATCGAGCAAGGCGGGAACACCAAGGCGCAAGAGGAGTGGATGGCGTGCTGGAGTGAGAAGGACTTCCCAATACCCGAATCTGGAGACAAGGAGAGGATCCGGACCTTCATACAGAAGAAGTACGTCGATAGAAAGTGGCACATCTCGCGCAAGCGTGGTTCGCCCAATCCAGAGCCCATCTCCAACATTCTGCCCGAAGAGCCCAAGGTCAGTCCTTGTCCTTGCCCCAAGAAGCTGATCTCCCGTGTAGCTGATTGTCAACAAGGCTGCGGCACCCACTAAGGCCCCGCCGCCTCTGCCCTCTCAGCCCCCTCCTCCTGCAGTGAAGCCCTCAATGTCGCAGAGCAGCAGCCTTCCTCCTTCACGACCTCCGCCTCCCTCCCCTCCCAAGAAATTGACGTCGTCGCCGAATACCAAATACCTCAACGACTCCAGCCCTAGCAAGGACTTGTCGGGCCTCCTCGGAGCGCTAGACATCGGAAATGACAATGACGCCTTCAACAACAAATTTTCGATGCAGCCAACACCAGCTGTTGCAGGAGCAGGAAGCAACCCTTTCGCCGATCTCGATGACAACGAGCCCGTGTCCACGGGCTGGGCATCGTTTGCATCAGAAGACACGTGGGCAGAGGGTGAGAGCTTTCGTCTTCATTCTGCAAGATTTCTGAGCCACTGCCAGGAACAACTGTCAGTCAAAATTGGGCTACCTTCGAGACGACTGACCATGCAGAGCCTGGCCTGCATGTCGAAGTTAACAGCAACATGGGCTCATCCTTGAACCCTTTCGGAGATCCTTCACCTGTAAAGGCACCGACCAAGGCAAATGTCAGTTTCGCCCTGAAACCTGTACTTAGCATCTAATATTTGTCCGACATGTGCAGTTTGCAGACCCGTTTTCAGACCTCCTCGCTGCCGACAACATCGCAACGGCTCCGAATCCCCATCACATGTATGCAGGTCACTTGATGCAAACGTCTTCAACAAGATCGGTCTGGTGACATGATGAGCCAGGAAATCAAGGTGGAGTAGCTGTAAATTTCTCAAGCGGAGCGTCCAACAATCAGCCTGCGCTGAATCAAATTCAGGGTTTGCATTCTGCAGCTTCAGGTCAGCAGATGCATGGTGCTTGAATTTCTGATGATTCTGCCGCGAATGACTAACGATTTCCTTTTATTAGATATGTTGTCCCACCAAGCGCACACATGTCAGTACCTGTTGTTATCCAGGAGTGTTTCTAAGTTTTTGGCAGCGGCTGAAGTTGGCCTTCACTCTAGTGGGTTGATGGGATCGATGATGAACTCTTCATTCTCCCACGCGCTCGAAGATTTGAATCAATTTCATTCTACGACCTCTGGAATGAAGCCATCGACGGTTAGAGCTTCTCGATATGCAAAGGATACATTTGAATTCTGATTTCCACCTGTAGGAACCAATATCGTCGGTCTCAGAACATCATCCTTTGCAGCAACCACATCATGATACGAGCAAGCCATCGAATGCATTTGACTTGGCGTTGAGTCAAAGTGGACCAACCAACATGAATCAGGGCATGGGCATGACTGCTATGAATTCAGGTGCCTTTAATGGCTTGTCCACTGCTGCACATCCTCCCGCTGGTATGCCGCAACAAGGCTTCGCTATGGGACAAGGCATGAACCCCGGCATGATGGGAATGAACTCAAGCCAAGGAATGGGCGTGGCTCTCAACAATGATGTTGGCATTGGGCAGGGCATGATGGGGCAGACCGGTATGGGAATGGGAATGGGACAGACAAATGTGAACATGGGCATGGGCATGGGGCAGAACACGATGGGGCAGAACATGGGCATGGGCATGGGCATGGGCATGGGCATGGGCATGGGACAGAACATGGGTATGGGCATGGGGCAAGGTACGATGAGCATGGGGCAGAATAACATGGGAATGGGAATGGGAATGGGGCAGAACATGATGGGGATGGGGCAGAACATGATGGGGATGGGGCAGAATAATATGGGCATGGGGATGGGGCAGAACATGATGGGGATGGGGCAGAATAACATGGGCATGGGCATGGGGCAAGGTATGATGGGCATGGGGCAGAATAATATGGGCATGGGCATGGGGCAGAACATGATGGGGATGGGGCAGAATAATATGGGCATGGGCATGGGCATGGGCATGGGAGGAAACATTGGATACCAGCCCCAAACGTACATGGGAATGAATGCCCCACATCATGGATACAACGTGCAGAGCATGACCATGAATCCGATGCAAGTCGCAGGCCAACATGGAGGGGCTTTCACGAATCATGCAACAGGCGACATGTTTGACAATGTGCACACCGATGGAGGCCCAGGGAACAATGTCCATGATCAAAGTAATGAAGTGAGCCGAGCAGAAGAAGAAGCAAAACCTGACTTGTTTGCCGGGTAAGATCAAAGAAAAGAAACGTTCCCAGTTGTGATTACTTTTCCACAGATTCGGGGATTTGTCCAAGTTCAAAAAGGTCAGTTCAGTTCACACGCAGAAAGCTTCAGATAATCCATTTGACTTCTGAGTGGTCTTCAGCCGTGAACACTTTCCAGATAGCCACACTTGTACAATGTTGCTGCTAGCTCGTGATACAGATGAGTTCAGATTCATTTTTCTATGAGTTATATAGTTTTCTAAGCATCGAGCAACGACTGTCTCTCTAAAATTACCTGGTTGATCAGAGACCTGAGTCAGCTCCTCAACGGTTGAGTACACATATGCTCACTCTATGAGTGCCCTCACTGCAGGTGGCAAAGATCCAGGCTGACCCAGACCCTGGGGTTCGAGTCCAGGAAACCTAGATCGCCATCAGTTTCAAAAAGCACAACTTACAGCTCAAAGTCACTGACAGATCATGGGTGTCGTGGCTGGCGTCGGCCTGAAAGAGCACGTGAGGATTAGGAATCAAGCAAGGCCATCGAAGTTACCAAGGAGTATTTGGATGTCGCCGACGTATCGCACAAGTTGTTCAGTTGGTACTGAGGGAGCCCAGAGTTCGAAACAGCAACGCTGAAATAATCCTGGTTAGCGATTTTGAGCCATAAATGCTTAGACTCTACTTTCAGAGCCTGGCTAACAATCTACTTCTGAAAAGGCAACTGAGCTAGCCACGCCTACATGTCGCCAGCGATAGGCAACGACTCTGCCTTGTGCAGACACTGACACGAAGCAGATTATGCCACATGTTCTTCAATCTTCTCGTCGCCTCTGTCGTTCTCTCCTCTCCGTCCCATTACACGACGACAGAGCCTTTGTCGCAGGAATTCATACGATCCTCCCCTTCCAAGAGCTCCTTCACTATCTCCCTGCTTCAATCTTTTCCCGCCGGTCTAGATGCTCTAAGGGACACCTCTCTCCGCTCCTCGTTCTGTCTCTCTGTGCCTCCTCACCTGCATGCGCCGACCGCAGGCTTCTGCCCGGCCCTGAGGAGCTGAAACATGGCGGCGTCCCGAAATAGCAGATCGTTACTCCCCATGGTTAATTTTGTAACGTCTTCTCACCCGCAACAAACGGCCTTGTAACCGTCCGCGTTCAGTCCGTTGCATGTTGCGAGAGTTACAAGACGTTGCAACCAGAAATAGATTTTGGCGTGCTACAATTAGCAATGGTGGGTGGGAAGGCAACCAGGTGCTGAATGCGGAGCGCAGGCTTGCTTGGCTTGTGTTGGACTCCCCTCTCGTCTCTACTTGTCTCTACTCGCTCATAGCAGGCTCTGTGAGGAGAAGATCCGGTAGATTACTGTGCTTCCTTCTGTCCCTGCGATTGCATCCACGGTCTCCAGGATGTCGATGCGGGCAGATAGCGAGGTGTCTTCTCGAGAAACGTCTCCGTCATCGGAGAATGCTTCCAAGACGGGGAAAAAGATCCTCTTTCTCACCAATCGGATCGGCTCTTACAACGGTTCGTCAGCCAGCGGCAGTGCAATGCGAGAAAAGTTGTTTGCAGTACTCTCCCAGGAAGGGTACGACATGAAGGTCTTTGCTGCCGGGACGAGTGACAAGGCGGACGTTGAGATCACAGACTATAGCCCCATGCTCTTCCCCTCTTTGCGGACGCTCAAGGGGATCTGGGACCTGGTCGCCGACTCAGATCTTTTGGTGATCTCTGGTAGCTACACGCCCTGTACATTGTTTGGCCTTGGAATGGCGAGGATGAAGGGGATCCGAAGCTTAGTCATCTTCACGACTGACAGTGATAAAGTTGCTCGCAAGTATTTCTCTGGGTTGAAGCTTCAGTGCTGCTGGTGGTTGTACAGCTTGTCGGATCGGTTGACGGCAGCGCTGGCCATGAGGTCGTATGCCGTCAACTCTGAGTTCTGCAAGAAGCTGCACAAGACGCATGGCATAGCGACCAACGGGGTCATCGACCAGAGCGACTTGCACGTCCTCTGCAACTGCATCACCTACGACTCCTCTGAGGAAATCTCTCGCTGCCGTGAGATGCTCTCTGGCGGGAAGCCGCACCTGCCCCTCTTGCTTTATGTCGGCCCGTGGACCACGGAGAGCAGGATCGAGCTGCTGGCCATGAATAGACCTCACGGAGTCGTGCTGGCGATCGTGGGGGATGATGATGACTCGGCGTACTGCCAGCACGTGGAGGAGCTGCACGACCCGACTCACGGGATCGTTTGCCTGAGGGGTAAGGAGCTCTTCAACAGACGGAGGATTCTTTACAAGGCTGCGGATCTCTTTGTTGCTGCCTCAACCGAAGAGAGGTGCGAGATCTTCGTGCGTGAATCTCTAGTCTGCGGCACCCCAGGTGAGAATGGCGCTTGTGATGCTTTGAAGCTGCCTTCGCTGACACTTAGTGCTAGTTGTTGTCCAATCGTCGAGTGCCTGCTTCAACCAGGTCGACTGCGGCCTACAGGGATTTCTTGTTGAATGGTCGAACGTGAAGGATGTGGAGTCTTCCATCAAGAAGGCTCTGAACTTCACGCACAAAGTGACCCCTAACGACTCCCAGGGGTCCCAAGGGATCGAAATCATTCACGAGATTCTTGAGAGTCCGAGGCCCAACTCCCTTCCAAGAAATTTTTCGCAGATGTGGATGACGTTCAGCTGGTCGCTGAGGGTCCCATTTCTTGTGTTGCTCACTGCCCTGTACATGATCTTTCCCTCCATGTGGCCTCGGGCGTCTCGGAGTGACGACTGTGAGATGGATCGGCTACAGGAACCGACCGGTGACGATGGTCTCGGGTTTGAAGCTGCAATGGATGTGAAAGATAGGAAACCACATTCTCTGGGAGAGAGATACGGCCTGGTGCTGATCAGCAGCTTGTTCCTGATGGTCGGTTTCCTCCTGTCGCTGACGATCATCGTGTTTGCGGTTGGTTATTTCAGTGGAAACACTTTGCTCGCAAACTTGCAGACTCCTTCACTAGGGGATATGTATCCTCCTCGCCACGATCGTACCTTGATCGGACAGCAAGGAATGTCGCTATCCTATCATAGCAAGCTCCAAATCAACGAGCCGAACGACAGCCTCTCTTACAAGGAGGATGCAGAGGAGCGCGGGACCGATGAAAGGAGAGCTCGCTCTTGGAACCTGTCGTTTATCGCTCCCTCCAATGCTCAACAACTTTTCTTGGGAGGAGTTGACCTCTACGTCCTACTGGGGGCCCTTGTATGTGGTTATCTGTGCGGTAGATGGAGGAGGAAGGTGGAGAAGCAAGTGTGCTACGTCAAGGATGAGAGTCACCTGGAGGGAAAGTGCCCATGGGAACTGATGCGCGCTTCAGGGGAGGACAGGAGAATCTGGATCTTTGACACGACTCTGAGAGATGGAGGACAGACAATGGGGATCGACTTCTCGTGCTCTGACAAGCGAGAGCTTTCCCGGGCCCTCGACGAGTTTGGCGTCGACTACATCGAAGCAGGCTGGCCAGGGGCAAACCCAACGGACGATGCTTTCTTTGCGGACCCGCCAGAGCTGGGCTCAGCCAAGCTGGTGGCATTTGGGATGACGAGGAGGAAGGGGGTGTCTGCGAAGGAGGACGGGGTTCTGCAGTCGGTGATCAAGGGGAAGTCGCACGCGGTCTGCTTGTTCGGGAAGACTTGGGACTTTCACGTTCAGGAAGCGCTCAAGGTGAGCTTGGAGGAGAACCTCAACATGATCAGAGAATCGATTGCGGCAGTGAGAGAGGAGGGGAAGGAAGCCATGTTCGACTGCGAGCACTTCTTCGATGGCTTCAAGGCCAACCCAACCTACGCGGTTGCGTGCGCGCGAGCTGCATGGGAGGCAGGAGCGAGCTGGGTGGTCCTGTGCGACACCAATGGGGGCAGCATGCCAGAGGAAGTTTATCAGATCGTCCTGCAGGTCAAGGAGGAGGTAGAGGGGGTGCGGCTGGGGATCCACTGCCATAACGACTGCGGGCTGGCAGTCGCCAACTCGCTGGCGGCAGTCGCAGGAGGAGCGCGGCAGGTGCAGGGGACGATCAACGGGATCGGAGAGAGATGCGGGAACGCGGACCTGGTGACAGTGATGGCGAACCTGATGCTCAAGTTCGACTTCGAGACCGGGGTGGAGAGGTCAAGGATGAAGGAACTGCGGAAGATCTCGAGGCTCCTTGACGAGAGGCTGAGCAGGGAGCCGAGCAGGCAGGCGCCCTACGTCGGAGTCGCGGCCTTCGCGCACAAGGGAGGGGTGCACGCGTCAGCAGCGGAGAAGGACCCGCGCACGTACGAGCATGTGTCGCCGGAGCTGGTGGGGAACGAGAGGATCTTCGTGGTGTCGAACCAGGCGGGTCGAGCCAGCATGATGGCGAGGCTGAGGGAGCTGGGGATAGAGGTGGAGGCAGGGAGCAAGGTGGTGGACGTGCTGATCAAGGAGGTGAAGGACAAGGAGTTCAGGGGATGGACGTTCGACACGGCGGAAGCGAGCTTCGAGGTGCTTGCGAGGAAGAGGCTCGGCCTCCTCCCCGAGCTCTTCGACCTCCTCAGTTACCGTCTGCATGAGAGCCGGGAGGAAGAGGGAGAATCGCTCGTCTCAGTCTCCGTCGCGCTCCTGGTGGCGGGAGAGAGGAGGAGCGCGAGCGGCTGCGGACGAGACTCTCTCCTAGCCCTCGAGAAAGCGATGCTGGAGGCTCTCAGACAAGACTTTGCCCTGCTCCTCGAGGGCTTGTGCGTGACCGACGTGCGTGTGCGGCTCAGGCAGCAGGGGGGCGGGAAGGAGGAGGAGGTTCGCGTGTCGCTGTGCTGCCATGGCAGAAGGGGGCCGTCCAGGACCATTGGGGTGTCGCACAACTCGAGCTCGGCCTTCCTGGCCGCGTTGGAGGACGCGATCAAGTGGCAGCTGCTCTAAGAGGGAGGGAGGAGATGGATTGTTTGAATAAATGTTATTCGAGGTCAAAAAATGTCTTCGTCTTGAATGCTGAGGAAGTTTTCGCCTGCTTTCCCTTTCCCTTTTCCTGTGAAGCCTCCTCTGCTTCTTCTCCATCTCCTTCCTCTTCCCCTTCCTTTTCGTCCTCTGCTCTTCTCCTCATAGGTCATCTCATCAGCTTGTAACATGTCCTCGATATTGTCCGCGTTCCTGTCCCAATCTTTTCGCATCTGTGACCACAGTGAACTCTTCTCCTTCCCCGTCCTCCTCCGCCGATCGACTTCCACTCCTCCTCCTCCTCCTTCTCCTCCTCCTCCTCCTCCTCCTCCTCCTCCTCCTCCTCCTCCTCCTCCTCCTCCTCCTCCTCCTCCTCCTCCTCCTCCTCCTCCTCCTCCTCCTCCTCCTCCTCCTCCTCCTCCTCCTCCTCCTCCTCCTCCTCTCTTGGCC